ATACAGTAGCGGGTGCAGCTGTTAATACAGTAGCGGGTGCAGCTGCTAATACAGTAGCGGGTGCAGCTGTTAATACAGTAGCGGGTGCAGCTGTTAATACAGTAGCGGGTGCAGCTGTTAATACAGTAGCGGGTGCAGCTGTTAATACAGTAGCGGGTGCAGCTGTTAATACAGTAGCGGGTGCAGCTGCTAATACAGTAGCGGGTGCAGCTGCTAATACAGTAGCAGGTGCAGCTGTTAATACAGTAGCAGTTGCAGCTGCTAATACAGCAGCGGGTGCAGCTGCTAATACAGTAGCAGGTGCAGCTGCTAATACAGTAGCGGGTGCAGCTGCTAATACAGTAGCGGGTGCAGCTGTTAATACAGTAGCAGTTGCAGCTGCTAATACAGTAGCAGGTGCAGCTGCTAATACAGTAGCGGGTGCAGCTGTTAATACAGTAGCAGGTGCAGCTGCTAATACAGTAGCAGGTGCAGCTGCTAATACAGTAGCAGGTGCAGCTGCTAATACAGTAGCAGGTGCAGCTGCTAATACAGTAGCAGGAGCAGCTGCTAATACAGTAGCAGGTGCAGCTGCTAATACAGTAGCAGGTGCGGCTGCTAATGCAGTAACGGGTGCTGCTGCTAATACAGTAGCAGGTGCGGCTGCTAATACAGTAGCAGGAGCGGCTGCTAATACAGTAGCGGGTGCTGCTGCTAATACAGTAGCAGGTGCGGCTGCTAATACAGTAGCAGGAGCGGCTGCTAATACAGTAGCAGGTGCGGCTGCTAATACAGTAGCGGGTGCGGCTGCTAATACAGTAGCGGGTGCAGCTGTTAATACAGTAGCAGTTGCAGCTGCTAATACAGTAGCAGGAGCAGCTGTTAATACAGTAGCAGGTGCAGCTGCAAATACAGTAGCAGGTGCAGCTGCTAATACAGTAGCAGGAGCAGCTGTTAATACAGTAGCAGGTGCAGTTGCTAATACAGTAGCAGGTGCAGCTGCAAATACAGTAGCAGGTGCAGCTGCTAATACAGTAGCAGGTGCAGCTGCTAATACAGTAGCAGGAGCAGCTGCTAATACAGTAGCAGGTGCAGCTGCTAATACAGTAGCAGGAGCAGCTGCTAATACAGTAGCAGGTGCGGCTGCTAATACAGTAGCAGGTGCGGCTGCTAATACAGTAGCAGGTGCAGCTGCTAATACAGTAGCAGGAGCAGCTGCTAATACAGTAGCGGGTGCAGCTGTTAATACAGTAGCGGGTGCAGCTGCTAATACAGTAGCGGGTGCAGCTGTTAATACAGTAGCAGTTGCAGCTGCTAATACAGTAGCAGGAGCAGCTGTTAATACAGTAGCAGGTGCAGCTGCAAATACAGTAGCAGGTGCAGCTGCTAATACAGTAGCAGGAGCAGCTGTTAATACAGTAGCAGGTGCAGTTGCTAATACAGTAGCAGGTGCAGCTGCAAATACAGTAGCAGGTGCAGCTGCTAATACAGTAGCAGGTGCAGCTGCTAATACAGTAGCAGGAGCAGCTGCTAATACAGTAGCGGGTGCAGCTGCTAATACAGTAGCAGGTGCAGCTGCAAATACAGTAGCAGGTGCAGCTGCTAATACAGTAGCAGGCGCAGCTGCTAATACAGTAGCAGGTGCAGCTGCTAATACAGTAGCAGGAGCAGCTGCTAATACAGTAGCGGGTGCAGCTGCTAATACAGTAGCGGATGCAGCTGCAAATACAGTAGCAGGTGCAGCTGCTAATACAGTAACGGGTGCTGCTGCTAATACAGTAGCAGGTGCGGCTGCTAATACAGTAGCAGGAGCGGCTGCTAATACAGTAGCAGGTGCGGCTGCTAATACAGTAGCGGGTGCGGCTGCTAATACAGTAGCGGGTGCAGCTGTTAATACAGTAGCAGTTGCAGCTGCTAATACAGTAGCAGGAGCAGCTGCTAATACAGTAGCAGGAGCAGCTGTTAATACAGTAGCAGGTGCAGTTGCTAATACAGTAGCAGGTGCAGCTGCAAATACAGTAGCAGGTGCAGCTGCTAATACAGTAGCAGGTGCAGCTGCTAATACAGTAGCAGGAGCAGCTGCTAATACAGTAGCAGGTGCGGCTGCTAATACAGTAGCAGGTGCGGCTGCTAATACAGTAGCAGGTGCAGCTGTTAATACAGTAGCAGTTGCAGCTGCTAATACAGTAGCAGGAGCAGCTGCTAATACAGTAGCGGGTGCAGCTGTTAATACAGTAGCGGGTGCAGCTGCTAATACAGTAGCGGGTGCAGGTGCTAATACAGTAGCGGGTGCAGCTGCTAATACAGTAGCAGTTGCAGCTGCTAATACAGTAGCAGGAGCAGCTGTTAATACAGTAGCAGGTGCAGCTGCAAATACAGTAGCAGGTGCAGCTGCTAATACAGTAGCAGGAGCAGCTGTTAATACAGTAGCAGGTGCAGCTGCAAATACAGTAGCAGGTGCAGCTGCTAATACAGTAGCAGATGCAGCTGCTAATACAGTAGCAGATGCAGGTGCTAATACAGTAGCGGGTGCAGCTGCTAATACAGTAGCAGTTGCAGCTGCTAATACAGTAGCAGGAGCAGCTGTTAATACAGTAGCGGGTGCAGCTGTTAATACAGTAGCAGTTGCAGCTGCTAATACAGTAGCAGGAGCAGCTGTTAATACAGTAGCAGGTGCAGCTGCAAATACAGTAGCAGGTGCAGCTGCTAATACAGTAGCAGATGCAGCTGCTAATACAGTAGCAGGTGCACCTGCTAATACAGTAGCAGCCGGTGCACCTACTAATACAGTAGCAGGTGCAGCTGCTAATACAGTAGCGGGTGCAGCTGCTAATACAGTAGCAGGTGCAGCTGCTAATACAGTAACAAGTGCACCTGCTAATACAGTAGCAGGTGCAGCTGCTAATACCGTAGCAGGTGCAGCTGCTAATACAGTAGCAGGTGCAGCTGCTAATACAGTAGCGGGTGCAGCTGCTAATACAGTAGCGGGTGCAGCTGCTAATACAGTAGCAGGAGTAGCTGCTAATACAGTAGCAGGAGTAGCTGCTAATACAGTAGCGGGTGCAGCTGCTAATACAGTAGCAAGTGCAGCTGCTAATACCGTAGCAGGTGCAGCTGCTAATACAGTAGCAGGTGCGGCTGCTAATACAGTAGCAGGTGTAGCTGCTAATACAGTAGCAGGTGTAGCTGCTAATACAGTAGCAGGTGCAGCTGCTAATACAGTAGCAGGTGTAGCTGCTAATACAGTAGCAGGTGCAGCTGCTAATACAGTAGCAGGTGCAGCTGCATATTTTTGCAATAAAAATGTTATGTTGTAATGGAATTCATGCATTAGTTTTTGTTTGCTTTGAACCCAGAGCAGACGTCACACGCCAGACGACATCAACACTGCATACTTTAGTATTTGTTCATTTATCGTGAGTAAAATCGATATCGCAATATTAAGCACTGTTATCGAATATCGTAGGTTTTCCTAATATCGCGCAGCCCTATGTTAGGACATGTTAGCATGTTAGGGCATGTTAGCATGCTAAGACATGTTAGAACATGTTAGCATGTTAGGACATGTTAACATGTTTGGACATGTTAGCACATGTTAGCATGTTAGAACATGTTAGCATGTTAGGACATGTTAGGAGATGTTAGCGTGTTTGGATATGTTAGCACATGTTAGCATGTTAGATTGTTAGGATATGTTAGGACATGTTAGCATATTTGGACATGTTAGCATGTTAGGACATGTTAGGAGATGTTAGCATGTTTAGACATGTTAGCACATGTTAGCATTTTAGGATATGTTAGGACATGTTAGCATGTTTGGACATGTTAGCACATGTAGGACATGTTAGCATGTTAAGACATGTTAGCATATTAGGACATGTTAGGACGTGTTAGCATGTTTGGACATGTTAGCACATATTAGCATGATAGGACATGTTAGCATGTTAGGACATGTTAGGACATGTTAGCATGTTTGGACATGTTAGGACATGTTAGGACATATTAGCATGTTTGGACATGTTAGCATATTTGGACATGTTAGCACAGGTTAGCATGTTAGGACATGTTAGCATGTTAGGACATGTTAAGACATGTTAGGACATGTTAGCATGTTAGAACATGTTAGGACACAGTCATGGTGTTAAACTTTGTTTTGTCACCCTGGCCAAACTGATGGCTGTGTGCAGACACCCGGTCTAAAGCAGGCAGACACTCCTAGACAACCGTTGGTTGTGGCTTGGCCACACCCATCCCTGGTTTATAGACATTTTCAACCAGCTAGCATGTTCATCTGTAAAATACAGAAACAGCCAGCCTTGAGCTAACCTGCTAACCTGGCATCAGCAGGCTTGTTGTGCAGTAGCTGCTTTGTGATGCTAATCCAGTCAGATCATCTAATCTGATCAGAAACAAAAAGGCTCCAGATTAAAGTGTTAATCAAAGTCTTATATAATCTTTCCTTTCTTCTATCTCTCCTTCTGCCCTGCCCACTTGTTCCTTACCAGGAACACAGCGATGCCTCCACCTGTGAAGAACCCAGCCAGCACATCGGCCCAGTGGTTCCGGTACTCGGCCACCCTGACCACCCCCACCAGGAAGGCCAGGCAGAGGAGAGTGAGGCTGATGGTGGGCTTGGTGAGCCGTGTGCCTTTGGTCTTGAACACCACCGTCACATATATCTGCAGACAGACACATTGAGCTGATGCTTGCAGCATTGGTTCCACTCATCTTTGATTGGTCACAACGGCTCTCCAATAAGTGCAACCTTTCCTCTGACTTTAGAAAATGTAAAACCTAAAAGATCTGCAGGGACAATGGGAGTGTGAGCTCCCAACAGCAGCATTACTCCAACCTACCACTGTGTAGAGAGCAGAGTAGACGCTGAGGGCTGCATCCTTAGATGGGAAGGATTTACGTGCAGACATGACGATCAGGGGGTTTCCTGTGCAAGCGCGGCGCTCGGTGATGTACTGCACCGTCGACTGGCATCCCAGCGCTGTGTAGTTTGGTCGGCAGGCCGACAGAAAGTGGGGCGTCTGGTTTCCTGTCACTACCTGGCCGGCGTTGGCGAAAATAGTAGTGGTGAACAGGCCAAAGGTGTACACACCTGGGCACAGGAGAACAAGGACGAGTAGGGTCCAGTGGGGGAGATTCAGAGAAGAAGAGAGAAAGATGCTTTAACATTCTTTATATTAGATGATGTCACAATGTGTGAGCACATAGGAGACAAAACAGGCAATCCATTTTCTCTCCTCCTAAAATAGCTTCAGCACGTTGTTATCAGCTGAGCTGTGAACATCTTCACCTTCACTGATTCCACTCAGGATGCTAATCTGCCGGCTCCTTGAGATTCACGGCGGTTTTCTTGCCAGGATCCTGAACATCGTGCACCAAAGATTACGGCTCGTTTGTTCTCAGCTGCGTGTACAAACGGCCAGCGTGGAGCAGCTCACATTTCCAGTTTTTTCCTGATGTCTCGATCTGAACATCGTTGATTTCTCTCAGGATTCAACTCGGCAGGAGCATAAAAGCAGAGAGGCTCACCTAAGAATCGGACGACGCGTCTGAGCAGGGGGTTGAAGTAGCAGCAGTCTGCAGTGACAATGGTCTTCTCCTGGGTTCCCTGTGCCTTGGTGAAGAAGGAACACAGCTCTCCAACTAGAATCTGCAAAGGAAATGACCTGGTTTCATTCACACAGCAGGGAGTCTGTTTCAGCCACCTGAATTAACCCTAACCCCAACAGCCCCCATCCACGACACCATTGTGTTTGGTGACAGCAAGAGCAGATGTGGAATGGCACCAGGTCAGCCACTGCCTGCTTTTATGACAGTTCAAAAGTTTAAGCTGCTGAAGGGGCTCAATGGGGGTCACCATGGTAACCACACACCTGTGTCTCGCTACCTAAACAAACTGGATAAGAGTCCAACAGGAACAGACTAAATAGGCCTCAGAAACAACGCCGTTTCCCTCATCAGAATGCTCTGAAGGTTACTCGTGTCCTCATGGTGTCCTCACCAGGTGTTCCCACATCCCACACCCTGTGGCAGATGCCATGTAGGTCTCTACTGCCTCTAAACACTCCAAACATCAAAGGAAGCCGTCCGTTCTCTGTCAGTGTTTGGTTTCAGGTAGGGATGCACCGATCAGGTTTTTTGCTGCCAATTACCGATACCGATATCAAAGAATGCTGATCACCGATACCGATCACGTGGATTGGCCAGAAATTTTCTACAACATTATAATGAGTGCTACAAACTACATAATCTGGGAATAAAGGAAATGTAACCTAATCTAAAATGGTCTGTATTAGGGTTGTCACGGTGTGAAAATGTAACCTCACGGTTATTGTGACCAAAATTACCACGATTTTCAGTATTATCGCGGTATTTTTTTAAATGTGCTACATTTTCACACAATTAAATAAACCCTGTATGTCAGGAAAATATCGTCCTTGGTTTGTGTCCTTCCAGTGAGCTTTGCAGATGTGGGAAAATGTCATCAGGCAGTAATCATTGTTAAATTCATAATTATTCTCGGAGAGAGACCAGCTCTTATCTGCCCCTGGGAGCCCCGTAATGCATAGCGTCATTTCAACATGGGGGTGTCCGCGACACGGTTTATATCCAATCCAATCCAATTTTATTTATAAAGCGCATTCACAAGGCATTACAACCAAACAAGGCGCTGTACACTAAAAATGTTGGTTAATTAAACCGGCGGTATACAAACATGTCGAACACAGATAAAAGATAAAAAGGAAATACAACAAAAATACCAAAACTAACAGCTAAAAATCAATAAGACACAGGGAGAATAAAAATTAGAAAAAACATTTTACAAAGAACCTCAATAATACGGAAGTCGATAATTGTGGGGTCAGTTTATAAACAGTGCAGATGTCAGTGAGGTTCATAATTATGTGGTATACGCTAGGTTGAAGTAGTGAGTTTTCAGGCGTGATTTAAAAATGCTAGCTGTTGGTGCTAGCCTCACTAGCAGTGGTAATGCGTTCCACAGCTTGGGTGCACAGACAGAGAAAGCCCTTTCTCCACGGCTTTTTAAACGTGCATTGGGAACAGCTAGGAGGAGCTTATCTTCAGACCTGAGAGCACGCGGCGGGTTGTAGTAATGGACCAGTTCACACAGATATGGAGGAGCTTGATGGTTCAAGGATTTGTAAGTGAGAAGCATAATTTTGAAGTTTATCCTGAACTGCACGGGCAACCAGTGGAGAGATTTCAGAATTGGAGAAATGTGTTGTCTTCTGTCAGCTCCAGTCAGCAACCTAGCTGCTGAATTCTGGACCAGCTGAAGTCTAGAAAGAGCTGCTTTACTGATGCCGTATAAGCAGGAGTTAGAGTAATCCAGCCTTGAGGTGATAAAAGTGTGGACCACCGATTTCAGAAGACCGACACTCAGGATGTGCTTTAGTTTCGAGATGCGTCTTAGTTGGTAAAAACATGATTTAACTGTGTTATTGACCTGGGCATCCATCTTCAGAGCCTGGTCCATTTTTACTCCAAGGTTGGAGATTACAGAGGATACATTAGGTGAGAGATAGTTGAGGTCAGGTTGATGAGTCGCCGTGGTACTGTTAGGACTGAAAACGATTAAGTCAGTTTTGGAGTCATTAAGATGGAGGAGGTTGTCAGCTAGCCATTGCTTGACCTCAAGGATACAATCAGACAGAACTTGCGTTGATTGAGTTGGCTTAAATGAAAAATAGATTTGACAGTCGTCAGCGTAAAGATGGTATGAGACAGCGTGCTTTCTGAAAATGGCTCCTAAGGGCAGTGTATAGAGGTTGAACAGTAACGGGCCGAGAATTGAACCTTGTGGGACACCCCAACGTAGAGGCTGTGACTCGGATGAACTGCCGTCCAACATGACCCTAGCAGACCTGTTACAAAGGTATGACCTAAACCAATCCAGGGCAGTGCCTGAAATGCCAGCCCAAGTGTGAAGTCTTGTGATCAAAATGTCATGATCGATCGTGTCGAATGCTGCAGATAGATCCAAAAGTACCAGAACCACATGGAAACCTGAATCTAAAGCCAGAAAAATGTCATTAAACACCCGAACGTGAGCAGTTTCAGTGCTGTGCTGTTGTCTAAAACCAGACTGACAGGTGTCCATTACCTGAATTTCATTTAGATGGTTCACCAACTTTGCATACACTATTTTCTCATGGACCTTAGATAAAAATGGTAATTTGGAAATTGGTCGTAGATTAGAGTAATCGTTGGGATCAAGGCCGGGTTTTTTCAAGATTGGTTGTAGAACCGCGTGTTTAAAGGCACGAGGAACTTCAGCCAATGTCAAGCTACTATTTATAATGCCTAGCACGTTATTGCTAATTAAAGGAAACGCCTCTTTCAGGAGTCGAGGTGGGATAACATCATCTGGGGAGCCAGAGGGTTTCATGGCTGCAACAGTTTTTTCTAGACAGGGCAAAGAGATGGGCTGAAAGCTTTGAAGTTGCCCGTCAGAGGGGATAAATGAATCTGGAACATGGTTGGTTTGGTGAATCTGAGCTCTGATTACAGTAATCTTATTTAAGAAAAACTGCAGGATTTGGCTACACAAGTCAGCGGACATGGAGGAAAATAGTTTTTGAACTGGGGAAAGCACTGCATTTATGGTTTTATATAACACACCTTGATTATTTGAATTAGCCTATATTTCAATTATATGCAGGTAGCGGCGCTGCGGCTGCTTTATATAGCGACTCGTTGCGTTCTCCCTCAACCCAAATCCTCGGATCACGCATTTTAGCTAAAACGCTAACGTTAGCTTGCCTTGCGTTGACTGTAGAGTTGTGGGTGATGGTCACGCAGATGTGTCATGAGATTTGAAGCGTTGCTGCCTTTCACAGACACTTTTTCTGCACGTGCTGCAAACAGGATAGCCGTCTTCTATCAACTGTCCCTCGGCATTCTTCAAATATCTAAAAGATGCCCGTACTTCCCACTTTGTCTTCTTTGAGGGATAATAAATGTCCTCCTGAGAGCTGCCGTCTCCTCCTTTGGCCATTATTTCAGCTTTAGCTTCAAGAAAGTTTTGGTTGTAAACAACAAAGTGCACATGTGCCGCCGGCAACTTCAGCAGATGATACGGTGGCTGGTAAGGGTCACCGCGCCTACACCGCAGCCACGGTAATCCACCGAGATAATATATGTTTTTTTTTTTAAAACAAGACGGTTATTATTATTGTCAACTTTTTTTACCGGGGTTTACCGCTACACCGGTTACCGTGACAACCCTACCTGATCGGTCTGCTTTGATCTACTTTGACAACTCAGATCAAAACCGATAGGGGCGCTATCGGCCGATTGGGATCAAATGCCGATCCATCGGGGCATCCCTAGTTTCAGGACTTGTGTACCTAAAACGAGCCGTTTCGAAAAGCTCCTTATTTTGAATATATTTCTTTGTAAAACCTGTTTAAACAGCCTGCCCTAGGTGGTGTGCAGATGTGCTCCTGCACCACTAGTGATGGGGACACCATATGTGAAACCATCAGCTGACTGACAGATGGTACAAACAATGCTTTTGTGTCATGAACAGAACTCAGAAAGACCCGTGAAGACGCCAACACTGAAAAGCACCTTTAAAAGTCTTTATTTTGATGCAGAGTTACCAGCGTAGGGCGAGGCTGAGGCAGGGTCAGAGACAGGCAAGGTCCAAATGGCAGGCAGCGAGCAAGGCAGGGGTCAGGAGAAAAAACAAGGTCTGGAGACAAAGATCAGGCAGGGTGGATGGCTGGAGAACTACTGGCAGGGCTGTAATGATCTGGCATCTGTTGACTGGATGGCTGGTTCTTTTATAGCAGGGGAAGCAGGTGTATGGGATGAGGCTGATTACAGGAGCAGGTGGAATGAATGGAGCTGATTGAAGCTGACAGAGGTTGCTGGGGAAAACAGGGCTTGGCTGGAGCTTGGTGAGAGGACAAGGTGAGCTGAATGAGGAGGAAACGATAAGGCAGATGAGGGTAAAGGATGAGAGTCATGACATTTTGTCTTATTTCCAGCAGCAAAAATGATATTAAACATTGTTTCTCTCCCTGTCATTTTCTCTTTAACACTCATAACACTGGTAGGCTATGTAACGTGAGGAAATATGGGTTTTCTGTGCCAAAGGTCATTTGACTCGGCTGGGTCAAGAGCTGGGTCGCTGAGAACTTCCACCCACAGATTAAGACCTGAACGCCAGTGAGTCTGGGAGAAACCATAACATCTGAACACCTGCAGCGCCAGAAGATGTGTTCTCGTGGAAAAGCTAGTCATAACATAACAAAGTTAAAAACTTCCTTTCCTTTATTTTAAAATGTTAAATAATCAGTATTATCACTTTGCTCATTATAAATGTGTTTTAATCAAATGAATGATTATTATGCTTTGGGTAATCATAATAACTAATGAATCACTGCTTAATTAAATAATGTTTGAAGATGTTATAATGACCTTTACACACACACACCCTCTCACAGTAAACTCCAAACACATTTGCTGACGCACAAGTTTTGCTTTGAGAAGAGAACTGGGTTTGGTAAGTTTCTGTCTGATGATTCAGTTCGAGTTGGTCAACGAGAGAGAGAGGACGTGTGAACAACCGCTAACGGGGGAACGGAGCCCACCGGCTCCCCCCCCCCCCCCCCCCCACGCTGTTCCTGTCAAGCCAGACAGGACAGCTGAATTGCAACCGCTAACGCAGACTCGTCCAGAGTCTTTGATTTCTGAGTGATTAAACTTAAGAAAGCGCATCTGCAAACGCTTTATCATCAACGTGTACCAGGGGGCATCTCTGGACCGGACCGGTGGACACCTTCGTCTTCTCTGCCAGCCGAGGTGACCTGGATGAAAAATCGTCCGTTGAAGTTCCGGATCTGAACGAGGGTCCTCGTAGGGTGAGGCAATCCACGATAGATAGCGTTGATGCATCTTTTCCAACAAAACCTAAGTTTATTCAAACCATCACTTTTCTCTCAGACGCCTGTTTCTTCCTGAAGCAAAATCAGACGCACACACACTCATCTCACCTTATTCTCAATTTTCCCTACATTTTGCACACACGCATCCATAATCACATCACTCTCAATCTTCAGCACATCCAACACAAGGTCTATTTGAGCAAGTTTACAATATCAACTGTTAAAGATTGTTCAACAAAGTTGCCAATGTTGATTGTTGTTCCTATGCTTGTCATTTCAAAATCATTAGTTTAATTTGAAGAATTTAAACTTAACCGACATCTTCTACACAGGCTCTTCTTGACAAAGTTGATTTATTTTCTCAAATTTCGGGTTATAAAGTTAATTGGCATAAGTCAGAGGCTATGGCAATTTCTAGAGCTTGTTATTCTACCATGGTGACTGCAGGGAATTTTAAATGGCTCTCAACTGGGATGAAGTATTTAGGGGTTAAATTGTGCGCTAATATAATGGATATAATGCACATTAATATGGCTCCTCTCCTTATTAAGATAAAGTATAATCTGGAGAAATGGAAAGTTCTGAATTTAACATTATGGGGAAAAATTAATACCATTAAAATGGTGATTGTGCCACAATTTAATTATTTATCAATGATGCTTCCGATTTCAATAAGTGAAGAGTATTATTATCAATATAATCAGATGGTAAAGGAATATCTATGGAATGGAAAGAAACCAAGGATAAATCAACAAAAAATGTATGTAACAAGAAGGGACGGGGTCTTGCTTCGCCAAATGTGGAGCTGTATAACATTGCTTTTGAAGTGGCTAAATTAACAAAACATGGTGGTAAAGAGGACACTTATTTAGGATGGGTAGCTATAGAAAAAGAATTTACTGCCCCCTTTTGGCCTTTAGAAGCTGTGTCACAAAAAAGAGCACAAAAGAAGGAAGCTGAGCATAAAGAGAATAATCCAATATTACAGCGTTCTAAAAATATCTGGAACAAACTCCACAAATGGTTAAAGATATCCCAGTATAAACAATTATATTCATCAATTTGGTATAACCCAGCAATAAGGGTGGGAAAGGAAGGCATCTGATGGAATTTGTGGAGAGAGAGCGGTATGAGAAAATTAGAGGATCTAATCGACAACAGAACAGTGACATCTTATCAGGACTTGAGGCTACAATTTAACCTGGATAATACAGGTAACTTATGGAGATATTTCCAGATAAGAAGTAGCTTGGACAGTTTGGTTAAGGAGCTGCCTGAAGAGGACAATGTTGTACAACTCTATTTAAAACTGGCAGAAAAGTATCAGTCAGCATCTATGTTTTATAAGATGGCAGCCAAAGTATTATATGGAAATTATGATGGCTTAAGGCATGCTTGGCAGAGGGATTTAAGCATAAGGTTGGATGGAGATTCATGGCAAAGGATAATGTCCGATATGGGATGGTTTACCAGGGAAGCACGGGGAAAGCTGACACATTATAAGATAATCCATGGATACTATTTTACACCGGTTCATCTTTATAAAATGGGTTTGATGAAGAACAATTTATGCTGGAAATGTAAAAGGCAGGAAGGTACTTTTATTCATTCTATGTGGTCATGCTATGTTGTTCAACCTTTTTGGAAAAAAATACTGAATACAATGCAAGAGTGGTTGGGTATACCACTCCCGGAATCTGCTCTACTTTGTTTACTAGGAGACGTGTCGTGTGTACCGAATATATCTACAACGGCAGGGGCCCTGGCTCTTACAGGCTTCATTTCAGCAGCTAGAGTTATACTGCGTAAATGGAAAAGCTCTGAGGCACCTGTTTACAGAGACTGGATAATAACGATGACAGAGATTGCATCTTATGAACTATTAATTGCTAAAATGAAGGGAAAAAAGGACTCATATTTTGAAACTTGGAATGAATTTTTGTTTTTTATTGGTAAAAAGATGTAAAAGTGGTTGGATAGCTTGTTTAGAAGTTATTATGTATGGTGGTTGTGAGTGGTTTTGAGTTAATCAGTGCTGTATGGGAGGGGAGGGGGGTTATTTGGGTATTTTGTTTTTGTTTCTATGTAAAAATTTGGAAAACTTAATAAAAAAACTTGAATAATAAAAAAAAAGAATTAAAACTTTTAACTTTCAAACTTGTCTCTTCATTGAACTGAAACACAGACCCACGGATATTATCGACAGTTTATCGATGAAAACAACCTTTGAGTCTTCTTAAAACTATCAAATATGTAGGATGGTTCCTCTTTCATAAAAGAGCACAAACCATTACTCTACATAATGAAAAGAGCCTAATCAGGTTCACTACAGCTACAAAGCACACCCTGTTGTAACATTTGGGGTGGCACTGACCATCGGAGTCAAGAGTACTCATGTTGTTGGGCCTTTGGAGTGAAAGAATGAAGGTTATAGACGGGGCAGAAGTGGACTGGCAATCTGAGTTCTGGAGAATCCAAGAACGACTGGTGCTCTACTCCAAGCCGGTGGATGAATGCAGCCCCACCCCCCCTCGAGTTGGAAATCCCCGTCTGAGATCGAGCTGACTGCAGCAGCGATCTGTGAAGGTTCTCAGTCATCCAGGTCATTGTAGTCTAAGGAGCTTTGAAAGAAAAGCGTCTGGACTTCTTTGAGTTGCTTGAAGACGTTTCACCTCTCATCCGAGAGGCTTCTTCAGTTCTAAGGTCAAATGGTGGAGAGTCCCAGATTCAAACCCAGTGGGAGATTTCGGTCCATATATTCAGGCCCCAGCAGATGATTCACTGAATGTCTCAGTCGATGGCAAACAGAGGAGGAGATGAACCAACCCGACCTTGTGGTGGTGGACAAACCACACAGGACAGCCACTGTGGTTGATGTGGCGATACCAAGTGATGCAACATCAGAAAAAAGGAACATGCTAAACAAGAGCAGTACCAGGGCCTCAGAGAAGAACCTGAGAAAGCCTGGATGGTGAAGACGTCTGTGGTGCCCGTGGTCATTGGGGCAGTGACCCCCAGACTGGAGGAGTGACTAAGGCAGATCCAGGAAAAACATCAGACATCTGAGTCCAGAAAAGAGCAGCTCTAGGAACAGATGAGATACTGCAGAACCCTCAAGCTCCCACGCCTCTGGTGGAGGACCTGCGCTTGGAAGGGTGAGTCCACCCACGGAGGGTGAGATGGGGATTTTTATAATCTCACTGCTTTATTGGGTACACCTAACATACCGGGCTGGACCCCCGTTGCCTTCACCCTTCATGGCATAGATTCAACAAGGTACTGCTCCTCAGAGATCTTGGTCCATGTTGACATGACAGCATCACACAGCTGCTGCAGATGTGTCGGCTGCACATCCATGATGCTCCATCGAGTTGAGATCTGGTGACTGTGGAGGCCATCTGACTACAGCAAACTCATCGTCATGTTCAGGAAACCAGTCTGAGATGATCCCAGCTTTATGACATGGAGCATCATCCTGCTGGAAGTGGCCGTCAGAAGACGGCTACGCTGTGGTCCTGGAGGGTTGGACGTGGTCAGCAGCAATACTCAGGTAGGCTGTGGTGTTGCAACGAGGATCAGTTAGTACTAAAGGGCCCAAAGTGTGCCAAGAAAATGTCCCCCACACCATTACACTGCCACCGCCAGCAGCCTGAACCGTTGG